GTTTTTGAAAAAAAGATAGGATTTTTTGTTTTTATTTCCTGAATAATATAATTAACAAGGGGAGTATATGAACAATGATACTATACGCCTACATAAGTCTCAAGTCTGACTTCTTTGAACAAATCTGAAAGAAAATTTTGTAGAAGGATTGGTGTGTTACAGTTGTGACTGTCCATAAAATATACAAGAGGCAATTGTTTTTACGACCTTCCTCATTTTGGGCAGTCTGTCCCCAAAAGCTTGTCAAACTACTCTCCTGACTACACTGTTGGCCTAGTAGAAGGTATCACAAAAACCCCTCCCCTCACAAAGAAAAGTTTGTTACATATTGTCTCAAAGCATCAACTGGTATTACAGTTTGCAATATTACAGCTCTTGGGCAGCATAAGCCATCAAATAATGTTGCTTCTACAGGAAGTGTAACTGATCTGAGCACAATACCTAGATGGCTTTTAAATAACTTCTGAAGAAAGTTTCTATAAATTGCTTTTGTGGCATTTGTTTCTGTAGAGTATATAAAATTAAACTTTATCATAATTAAAGTACATGAATTTTCATACAAAAAGCCAATTCCTAAACTGTGTTTGTCACCTTTGCTCTTGGAGTACTCCTTCCTGTAAAGAGGGGAAGTGCTCTTACTTTTACACATAGGGAACTGAAGCACTGAGCTAGCCTAGATTTTTAAAAGCTACTAAAAATCAACAGCAGCGTCAATGCCTTTAAAATACAGCCTCAAGTAACTTGTCCAAGTTACACAAAGTTTGTGGAAAAGCAGGAGTCTCAGGTATGGCTATAAGAACAAATTGCCATAAGGAAAGCCAGGGTGTATCCTAAAGCAGATTACCGCTCCATAGTACTTATGGGGTCACGTACTCAATGAAATTTATCACAAAACATCTACTATGCTGTAAGTGAACAGCCTAGCTTACCTCACTTTAGGCAAAATGTTCATGATGCCATGTTCTTAGGCAAGGTCCTTTACTAGACCATCTTTCTTTCCCCCACCTGTCTCTGTACAGTACGTCTAACTGCGCTAACATTTTCTATTCTCTCTCTCATACTAATCTTTAAAAACTTTGCCCAACTGTTTAATATTTACACTGATTTAAACATAATCTTGGAGGGGAAAAATAAATTCTCTTGCCCTCTTGTTCTACCAGCCTTTCTAGAAAAGTATGCTTTGTGTAACCAATCCTATTTTTCATTAATTCACTTAATGCTAATAGTGAAAATGTTTATGATTAGAACAAATTATTATTAGCAATATTAAAAATAATGTCATCATATTTACCCAAATCCAAGACAACTTTGAGTTTAAGATGACCGACCCCCACAACAATTAGAGACTATACATGGAAAAATATATAAATTAGTTATAATTTCCCATGTACATAATCTCACCGCTGCAGTGAGTCAAGCAGCAAGGGGACAAGCAGTGGCAAGGGTGGGTAAAGTGGCCTTATCACTGTCCTTTGCCCCTTCTCCCCACACCTTGCCCCCAAACCTCCCCAACTACTTACAGGCAGCAAACAGCAGAAAGGGCGGAAGTGATGGCGGGAGAGAGGTAGGCAGCAACTGTAGCTCTGACCTGATGTAAGGACTGGAATCAGAGATACAGCAGCACAGGCGGATTAACGCATAGGCCAGCGGGGCCCAGGCCCAGGGGCCCCAGCCAATCAGGAGCACCTGGATGCCTGGGTTCCCTTGGGAAATGGCGGGTTTCCCCTTGCAGGCAGGCAGTATTCCAGGCCGCAAGGGGCTTTGCTTGGGGCTGCCAGGAGACGCAGGGGTGGTGCCAGCCTCTTCCTCATGCAGGGGCTGGGCCAGGAGCGCTGAACATCTTCCTGGTGTGGGAGCTGGGCTGGGAGCCTGAGAGAGGGAGTGTGGAACTCAGCTGGTGGCAGCAGCACTGGGAGGGGTGGCTACAGGGGGGGATAAAGCGAATTTTGAGGTGGCTACAACCCCCCAGGTCACCTCTAGAGCCGCCCCTGTGCATGTGTATGGCCATTAACACAGCCAGCTCCCTACAGGTAAGTCTAATGGGGGGAAGAGGTAGGGGGATGGGAAGGGGCAGATTGAAGTCCCCACAGCAAGAGATAAGAGTGGGGCAGGGACGGGGTTGGGGGCACTGCCCAGCCAGGGTGGTGCATGGGACCTGGGGCCAGGGTGGGGAGTGGGACGGAGCTACAGGTGTCTTGTCAAGGGGGCACAGGGGGAAAGGTAGGGAGGGAGAACCCCAAGCCTACAGCTACATGGGGGATATGGAGCAGGAAGGAGAGGCAGACATGTTCCACCTTCCCCCAGCCCAGCCAGGTCCACTCAGCACCCCCCCCCCGGGGGGGCATGGAGGTCTGCCCTACCCTGGACAGGGGCAGCGCCAGGAAGGGAAGGGGTTCCTTCCCTCACTGGAGTCTAGTTCCCCTGGGGGGAGGGGGCCTCCTATTTTGTGTTTGCCCAAGGCTCCCATAAGTCTTAATCCACCTCTGCACAGCAGTTGCCTGTCCCCCCTCCCCACACCCCAAGCTTTTACTCAAATCCAACATGAGGGGCTTGTCTTGGATTTGAGTTAATATGGCATATTATCCTTCAAAAAAATCTGAAGGGAGGAGCTGATGTAATCCAAACTGTTTGACAGCAAAACCTCAGATTTCCGATACTTGACAAGAGATCTCTAGGAAAACACAGGCCAAACTCAGTGCTATTTTTCTTCCATTTCACTCATCTTGGCAAGAAGAACAATGAGCACATAACAGAATATAACTGGTTATAAGTCCCAAGAGGGCTCTGTATTTATACTTTCATGTGTCTAAATAAGCATGTAGTAGACAGAATACCCAGAAACATACACACTTTGAAAACAGAAAGTATCAAGTTCAAAACAAATGCTAAGGGTAAGTAGAGTTTAAAAGACCTCAAACGTCATAGGACACTTTAATATACTTTCGTTCTTAAAAAAAAGGTTTTTTTACTTGCGTCAAGAGTTCCTTTGTATAAACACCAACTTTGATGTGCTGGATGGCTACGAATTTGAAGAAAAATAAATGAATTCTTGTTAAATTCTATTAATAGTTTCCAATATTATTAGGAGTACCAACAATATAAGTAAAAAGTCTAGTTCAGGCTTGCCCAACATGCGGCTCGCCAAGCCATTTTATCTGGCCCGCGGCGGGAGGGGGCGCGGGGGCGGTGGCAGCGGAGCCACGGCCGCGACGGTGGTGGAGTGCAGAGCCGTGGCGGCGGTGGAGCTGCTACGGTGTGCAAAGCGCAGTAGAGGTGGAGCGCAGAGCTGAGGCGGCGGAGCGCGGAGCTGTGGCGGCGGCGGCGGCAGGGCCACCGCAGAGCGCAGAGCTGCGGCGACAGAGCGCTGCAGCAGTGGCGTACGGAGCCACCGCAGAGGAGCGCAGAGTCACAGCGGCGGAGCCACGGCGGCGGGGCAGCGGCAAGGCAGGCAGGGGCAGCCCGTGGGCCCCAGCCAGCAGCAAGGGGAGGGGAGCTGCTTACCCCCGTGGGGCCCGGCTCATCAGTGAGCCAGGTCCTGCCGCAGCTGCCCTGAGGGCTGTGCAGAGTGGGGCTGCCCCAGCCGCGCCTGATTGGACAAGCTGGGTACTGGCTGTGCCCCTTGCCCCCGGCACGTGGCCGGGGGAGCTGCAGCGTGGTCCGTGCCTTGCCCACATGCATGGTGGACGGAGGCACAAGGTAAGTTCCCGCGCAGAACTGGCGCCTCAGGGCCAGGCCACAGCGGACAGAGGCACGGCGTAAGTTCCCGTGTGGAGCTGGGGGCGCCTCAGGGCCGGGTTGGGGCTGTGCGTGCGTGCATGTGCATGTGTGTGTGCTTCCCAATAGCATGTCCCAATAGCTGCTTTGGCTCTGTCTGCTGCAACACATGTGTGCTTGGAAGCACACACATGCACATGCATGCACACATGCGCGCGCGCACACAGCCCCAACCCCCCAGCTTCCAGATTCCCACCAATCTGGTACTTTTGCTTAAATTTTCTCCAGTAGCTGGGACACTGAGACAGCCTATAAAATCTGGGACTGTCTCAACCAATCCAGGATATATGGTCACCCTATGTATAAATAGTCTAGATTATTTTTGTTGATTTTTTTTTTTTATGATACACTAATTCCTATTGAATTTCAGGAGGGACAAGAGACTCAGGTATTTTCAGTTCTTTCTCCTTTCTTTTTCATTTTCTCCTTTTTTATTAGGTACATTCCTACCTTTTAATGCCACCATCTCTTTTGGTTCAGATACTCAGAGTTGCCAATTCTCATGATAGTGGTGGAAAAATTTTGGCTGGAGCTGAAACCAGTGAGAAGCTACAGCCCTCTAACAGATTTTAGCAAGGTAAATCACTTTTGTTGATTGCTTGCCCATTTCTCCAGCTCCTGCACAGAGCAGCTGATTGGGACTGTTCAAGGAGGAGCCATGTCAAAGGTCACGTGACATCACTTCCTGATGTGATGTCACTTCCTATGAGGTCTTTGAATATGGCTTTCCCGCCCCCTGGGAGGTAAAAAGTTCGTGATCCAGCCCCACATTCAAAAAGGTTGGACACCCCTGGTCTAGTTGATATCAAAGATTCCTCACAAAGTACACTGAAAACAGAATATAATCTGATCTCTTGTCACAGTAGAAACTGAGAATACTGCAAAAAAATCCATTGGTTTTAATGAATGTTTAAAATATTGATTTGTTTAAAAAATGGAATCTGTTCATAATTAGTAACAAAGAAAAAAAAAAAGAAAAAGTATTGGGAGGGAAACTGCCCATATGTATAAAAAAAATATATATGCTTCCAGAACCACTGTGTACACAGATAATTTAGAACCACTGTAAAGGAGCAACAGATTTTCAAAAGAAAAAAATTAAGAGGTAGGATAGGGTGATAATTATTTTACCTGCATGAACAGCTTATACATCAAATCTTAAACTCTGTATAAGGCCAGCTGCAAGTTTGGGAAGACAGACTGCGCACTATTACGAGTGGTCTTACCATTGTTCCCTGGTGGCTGTAGTGCATCTTCTGTCAAGCTACACCATCCAACTGGAAAAATATCTCGAGAATCATATTTGCACCAATAGTCAAATGCTCCTCTCCAGCCATCAAATGTAATAAAAACTTCATCTCCTTTAACATCTCCAATGGTTGCTGGGCAAATTAAGTAAGGGTTCTTTCTATCTACTGCTTCCAGTTTCGTTCCAACTTTAAAAGAGTTTGGAGCAGGTTTTGGTGGTTCCTATCAAAATAAGAGTAACAGAACATTCATGTTTATATGAACTCTTGAAAGAAACCTACTCGTAATATTTCTTTTTCTACCAACTAATCTCAAAATATCACACAATATACATAGAAAAACAAACACTCGTAATGATTCCTTATATCTTTGAGGCTTGATTCTGCTCCCACTGACGCGACTGAGTGCTTTGCCATTGACTTTGACTATGAGCAAGGTTATGTTTAAAGTATCTACTTAAGCAACAAGCAGAAAAATTCTGCTGCATTCTGCAGGAGAGTGAAGACTCTAAAAATATGCAATCAAGCTTTACATAGTCTAACACAAAAGGATAAGAGGACAGCATGCATTTCTGCCAGAGGCTGGGAGTTTCTGGTAATTGATAAGGGATTAATGAATATTTTCTTCTTGGTTATTAGCACAGATCCACATAAAAATCATTATCATTTGAAGACTTTATACATGCCTGTGTGACCTGTGTCTTGGGTCAATTCCAAGGAGACAAAAGAGAAATCACCAACACAACAATCTAAAAAGTGTCTTCATTGTTAGTCTCAGCAGAAGCCAAAGGACTGAATAGAAACCGAATACTGTTTCAATCCTTACAATGCAGACCCTCCAGTAGAGCATGGAGACAAACTGATAGGCTAATATATTAAAGTTTAAATTGTCACTGCTCGTGGTACAGGTACATTATGAATGCATTCAAATCAAGACATTTCTTACAACAATAGGCATTCCACTAGAAAAGGGCTTCCAGTATCAAACCCAATGTTAGTTTTGCTGACTCAACTGCATAGCTCTTGTCAAAAGTAAGAATGAAGGCACTTGTCTTATCATGATGATTTTAAAGTAAGTTAATTAGAATGATGAAGACAAATTAAACAATAGATCAACTGAACTGTATTGTTATCATTAGAGCATGTTTTTGCATAGTTCATACCATTTTACTCAAGCTAAAGTCCTACTTCTAAAATTGATGGCGTTCCTGTTTATTGCTTTCACCTGCTTTCCCACTAGAGTTCAACTGTCTATCATGCATCAACTAAAAACTTTCATTATGGACTTTCCAACCACTCTTATATGTGTTCTGAAGCTTCTCATTCTCTTACAAACTTACTGTAACACATATACAGGCACACTATGAATACAAGAAATGAGATGCACAACGTCTTAAATCCATTAAATAAATACTAAGCTAAGTCAACTTTTTCTAAATAATACAGCATACCTTAAAGGTCCAAACACAGGAAAAGAGATGCCCATCCATTTGTACTAGAAGATGATCATTTCCTGTCCAGTTTTGTGGCTTGCCAATCCGTTCAAAGAAATTTTAAATAACATTCTTGCCTTTCCATGCTTGGGAGAACAGTACAATATCCTGGCATCCTCAATAAAAACTGTAATCATGGACCAGTTGACGGAAGCTTGCTTACTAGGAGCCCCTTTCTTCTTACCTTCTTAAAGAATGTTGCAGGTGCCATTTCAGCTCCATTTAGTGTTCTTAAGAGAAACATTGGCCAAGAAGATGCATTCATCTGGAACCCTAAGTAGCAAACAGATTACTTGTATATAAGATCTGTTTCATCCTTATACATACAAATAAACAGGAAGGAGAAGAATAAAAAGTTGACTTTCCTAATGTCTAATTTTTTCTTGTTTTGGGCTTGACTAAAAATAAAGTGCGGCCAAGAAATGTGAATACATAGGACAGCTGTTCAGTGCAGTATGTTGTATAATTTATTTCCTTTTAGAGTGATCTGCCTGCAAAACCGTTCATCATGGTTTATATATAAGTGTGACTAGAGACAAGCAAGCTGCAGTACAGGAGATTAAGTCATTCCCATATTCCCCAGTCCTATAGAACTTCTTTTACATAGTGCCCAGTTTAATTTACTCAGCCAGTCTTCTCTCTCATTCTCAAATGACATACTCAGTTCTAGCTTCTCTGTAATCTGCCCCCTCCCCTTTTCTTTTATTAGGCTCCCTTTTTTTTCCTCCATGCTGTTGGGATTCTTTGACTTACCACAAACAGAAACAAAAAACTACATTTTTTCAGTGACACAATACATCCTTTAACCACAAAGAGAACAAAAAACAAGGAGTGGCAAAAATTAAACATTTTGGTAAACATATGTATCATATTGCAATTACATAAAATAGAATGCGTTTCCAACTTAATGTTCTTAAAAATATAATGCACAAAGAATTAACATAACCTAAATCTGTTTTAAGAACTTTATTCAAGCAAAACAATTTTTCACTGGAATATTTTTCGTTTCAGGCAATTCTCTCTCAAAACCAAGAAGCTCCAAGTAACAAGAGAGATACAATTATATCTTCTTGTCCTTTCCAAACACTTCAAGGGCTCTATTTGAAAGCAATGAGCTGTGGATGTTTCCAGCCAGAGCTTTAAGGTTAAATACAGACAGTTAAAAAGCCCGTGGCTGAATTGATTCAATCTTTGCAGGTTAGTCTAAACTGCGTAGATTGAACCAAGAAGCAAGGGAACAAACATTCACTTTTGATTCTGGAAATGCAGCCACATACCTACAGTGGCTGAGGTGAGAAGCTGGGGTGCTAGAGCACAGCTCGCAGCCTGCCAGCCACTGCCAAAGGGAAGGGAGGGAAGCTGGGAGAAAAGCCCTCCAAGGCTTTTCCCCCCAGTCCCTGCTCAAAGAGGGAGGGAGGGTGTGGCCAGGCTCCAACCTATGGCTAGCCCACTGAGGCAGGGCAGGGGACTTTAAACCTCCTCCCTGGGCTACATGGGACCCCAGCCTGGGTCTGCCTAGGAGGCACGGGGGGCCCCTGCCAGGCTTATCCAAGCTCCCTGCTCCTGGCCAAGGCAGGGGGAAGGGGTTTTAAAACCCCTCCCTGGCCCACATAGGACCCTAGTCGAGGCCTGCCTGGGGTGGGGGAAGGAGGGGGCAGCCACTATCAGGCTTCTGCCCCCTTCTCAGGTCATGGGGGGTGGAGAGGGGAGGCAATCCCTGCCACGCTTTTGCCCCTCCCACTTGAGCGGGATGCCTGTCTGGCTCAGGGCTGGCACCAATGTGTGGGAGGGGGAGGCGGGAGGGGGAGGGGATGCCATTTATGTACATCTTGGGATGCTGGGGGACTGTGAGCTAACTTAAACCAGGAAGGAGTCTGGGACAGAAGTTCCAAAACCAGTTTGACCTAAATCAGTTCAGTCTGATACACCAGGCAGGCCTCGACTATATCCAACCAGGTTTATCTTAAACCAGTTTCAGACATTTTGGAAGCAGTTTAAGTGCACTGAACTTCTGTTGTGTTACAGATTCGAACTGTTTTCTGATCACTTAAACCTAGGAGTTGTCAACTGGGGGTATGTGTACCCCCAAGGATACTTTGAAAGGTCCCAGAGGATAAGCGGCGGTGGTCAGGGACAGAGCACAGCCACCCCGTGTCACTGCCTCACAGGAGCAGGACCAGGGCAGGGCGAGAGCAGGGCTGTACAGAAGCTGCGCCACACCCCCGCTCCGTGTTTGGCCACTCACCACCCCCTCCCCCCCACCAGGGGGTAAACTTACTAATAAGGGGGCCACTGGGGATACACGTGTTAAAAAAGGTTGAAAACCCCTGACTTAAACCAGTTTATGTATAACTTTTGTCCCTAGCCTAAGTAGGTATAAGTGTGTCATAACTGTTTAAAAAAAAAAACTAACACAATAATAGGGGCTTAAAAGGAAACATCTCTGAGAAAGAAAACAGTGTGAAATCCTTTCCAGGGACTGAAGAGTTGATAATTTAGGTATAATTTTTTTAAGAAAACGAATAGATGTGCGATAACTTACACAATTTTGACTTACTGTTTAATGCATAATGTAACATTAATTGCTTTCTTGAGTTAGACTCCCTGGCTCAGTGATTTTAGGTTGTCTTAGGCTGAACAAATTGTTTTAAAAGTTATATAAAGTAACAGACTACTTAAAACACATTTTAAAACAGCACTAAACATCACGCATGGTAAACACTGTCATATTAATTAACCTGAAAGCTACTGAGGTGACTTTCAAACTTTCTAGAGATGGTTTCTCAAATTATCTAGAGAACATGTCATTTTTGAAGTTTCTAGATTAACCTTTTGAATTATATGAAAACTATATTTCTGGCTCAAAGATAATCAGAGTTCACATGCTGATAAAAGAGAAAGTGACACTAAACCAATTAAACAGCAGTTTAAATTATTTTACTTAAATTTTCTTAAAACGCCACTGGTAATCAAAAGCATGGAAATAACTTTTTGAAAACATTATGTACTTCCAAAAGTATTGTTAATTTCAAATGAAAATTGAAACCTTAACTACTAAAATGAGTGCTTTCAAACACATGATATAATGATACAAAAATGTTTAAACTTCATGTGGGAGGGATTATTTTAATCATATGTTCCTGTGACAAAGAAAATGGTGGGACAAAAAGGTTCCATAACACTTGGGATAGTCAGCTCTCCAAGTATTTAGCAGGAAGCAACTATACACCATATTAGCTCCCTGATTTGCTCAGGAACCAGATGCTGTACAATAAAGCTTTTTCAAAAAGCTTTGTCTATGCCAGGACATGCAATTGCTGGAACCTAGCCTCTCTCTAGAAACTCTAGGACAGGTGGGACAAAACAGGGCAAATAAATCCCTTGTTGAATGGCTAGCAGTCCCCGTGAAAGAGACTAAACTTGGATCCCTCCATGGTTTGAAACCATGTGCTTAATATGTACAACATTTCAAGTAGCTTGATTGAATAGGAATGGCAAGCAGAACAAGATGACACCACCCCTTTCTTTAGTATGCAGGAATTTTATCACCTCAGTTGACTGACTTGCCTTCACAGATGCAGACATGGCTATGGGCTGGCCTACAAACATGCAAATTTTCTTCGCTAAAACTCTATCAGTTTAGGAATAGCTACAGATTAAATGATATAATCTATGGCAAAAACCATAGCAAATCCGTATCAGCAAATCCGATTCAGCTCTATCCGTATCAGTTGTTTTTATTGCTATAGCTTAATTCTTTTCTCTAAATATCCTTTATAACACTATAACCATTTCTACTCTATGGAACACTATGTAAAGTTAGGTAACTTTAAGACAAATAGTTTAGTTCCCAAAAAAGCCATTTCAGTTTTAAAAAAATAGATTTTTAAAAATGATGTTTATTTTGAAATGTTTTGTTTAGAAATTTGCCTACATTTAAAAAAAGACATAAGAAAACTTTAAAATGAAACACACACATTTCTCTTCAGATCAAACTAATTTTTTCCACCCACTCAAAATTATTTTTTTAAGTGTGTTTTTGCTTTGGCCAGTAAGCCTATTTACATTACTTGAATTAAATACGTCACTAAACTTTTTTTGCAGTGCAACAAACCTGACTTTTGAAACAACTTCCAAATAAACCTGTGTAGAGTAAACTGAGGCCCCATTTTGTTTGCCCACTATGCAGGCAAAACTGAGAAGGATCAGTATCATACTACAGAGAAATAATATTTTAACAGTATCTAGGACTTCCTTCAGACAATCGCAAAGCAAGTATTAGCAACCATAACAATCTGGTGAGGCGTCTTCAGATTATCATAACTCATAACTCACAGGTATTTATGACCAAAGTAGGCAGTATGTTTTATAGTTAGTATAAGGGAAGGTCAGAGTAGCTCTCCTATCTTTTGGGCAGAGAGCTCATTTCATACATTAAGTTATGGCCTGACCTTTCTGAATGCTTCAAATGGTTGGGATAGGGAGATTAATGTGAGACTTACATCCTTACTTTTTATCCCAAGATGAGAAAAATGTATTCCCTAAGGACTTTACTAGTTTTAATTATATGTACTGGTTATTTCACTTGTGAAAGCCAGCATAATATTAGCTAGCTAGATAAATTATGACAGAACAGATTAAGAAGCATTAAGGTATTTACTTAAATACAAGACAACCCTGATATAAGACAACTCTTCAATAATAGATTTTATATATGGAAAATTTATAAATTTGTTGTAATTTTCCAGGTATAGAATCTATTTATTGGAAGTTTGTCTTGAATTTGTCTAACTTCCACTGCTATAGCAGGAAAAATAAATCTGGGGTATCAGGTAGCCCCCTTTGCTCCCTACTTCCCCCAAACTTTTTCTCCTGGAAGCCCTTTCCCCCTCTGCTTACTATCAGACCTTGCTCTCCCTGAATACATAGAAGCGAGAAGCAAATTTGAAAACAATAACTTTGAAATTAAACATGGCTGTAGCAATTTGCATATAATACCCATACACTTAGCTCATCCAGAATTGATGCATGTTACCTTTTTTTGAAACTGCTGCAAGTTTTAACACAGGTACTCCATAAACACACTTTTGAGCAACACTTTGGCCCTTACTTATCTATAGTACACACTTTTTTTCTTAAGTGTTTCATATTCCAGGTCAAATTAGCCAAATCAGTTCCGAATCCTTTTGATTGAGCAACACTCAATCATTCAAACACCATATGTGGTGCTACAACTGGCAAGTATCCTGCACCACAGACTCACAGTACACACT